TAACTTTTAATCAGTTTTCTGAAACATTCATCCTCATCTGTGGGATGGAAAAGCCAGGATGAAATCCTGCTTTTCATCTGCAAGACCTTAAACACATAATCTGTTTAAGGTCTTCAGTCTCAGGTTCATCTGAGATTATTTTTAGGCTGACCTTTTAAAAATAGCTCCTTTTTCATGTCAAACGTTGTGGTGAACAAAACGTATGTCTTAAAAATGTAAAAAGAAGTTTTAATTTAGTTTGCAGTAATGATAAAACCATAAATGTTTGGCGACAAACGAGAGATGCACCGATCAATTGGCCAGAGATCGGAATCGGCCGATTATTTTATTTATTTATCAGCTCTCATTGGTACAATGAAGTATTATTATTATAATTTTTTACTTGTGTTGTTATGATTTTATCCTTATTATTAACTCTTTTGCTCGTATTGTGACAAGTTGCTGTCGAACAACCTGTGATATTATTTTCTCAAAATATTCTGACTTTTTGTCATATAACTTAATTCTTGTTTTATCTTGACTTTATTCTGGAATTGTTGCAACTTTTTGTCATATTTTTACAATTTTATTCTGGTATTTTGATTTACTTTCATACATTTTTTTTCTCTCATTATTACGATATGATTATTTTTTTTGCTTGCTTTACAACTTTATTCTGATAATACGACTTTATTCTCATATAATTTTGTCTTAAACAAACATACTAGCCGCAAACCTTTGAAACTCCTCCTCTCCCTGAAGTATCCTAGCAGCTAATTTTTCGACTGTTGTTTGAAGAATGACCTTCCCTTCTGTCTTGTCAGGTATCGAGGATCTGTGCTCGAAGCGGGATGAGCTGAACCGCCAGATCCGGCTGGAGGAAGAGGAGAAGGACCGACTCCAGAACGACATCCGGCTTCTCTCCGAGAAGCTGAGCCGGGTCAACGAGAGCATGGCACAAAGACTGACCATCAGGGCCAACCTGGACCGCACCATCGCAGAGACCGAGGCTGCATACGCCAAGGTATTCATGTTAGCTAAGCATCATGACGTCAAGGTTGTGATCAGTTTTTTTATTTTCATTGAAAAATTGTGTTGTTTTGTTTTTTTTGACAAAGTTTTGCGTACATTTGTCATGTTTATGAAAACTTTCCATCAGAAAAACCGCAACCAGAGTTTCCACAACCTTATAAAGCCTTAAATTATTATCCGACTTGTTTTTGCTGAACTCCCTTTGCCCCCTGGCTAATTACTGAAAACAGAAACTCCTGAACTAGTCTGACTGGGAAAACATCAGGAAGACCAGGAAGCCATGACGCTCTGGTTAAAGATCTCCTTCTAGCATAAACAAAGCAACACAGCAGATATTTGAGATGAGACACTGAGTTTTATCGTCCTGTGGAAGCAGATGATGAGTGTCACTCAGTTGCTGCTGCGTTAAAGGGAGATGAGACGATCCAGGAAGAAAAGATGGCTGAATTTAGTCTAAAGAAGTTCTCTTTTTTTAAAGAGTTTTTAAAATAAATACCAAAACACTAAATATAAAATGCAAATTTAAGAATATATGCAGTAAATGAACTTAATTATTGAGGAAAGTATCATAAATTAAGTATAAATCTGGATGATTTTTTTCTTCCACTAAACTTTCAACTAATATGCTTAAGTCTTTTTTGACAATGAAGCTGACTGTACAAGATGTAAAGTTTAAATTCTAATTGTCTATGGCAAATGTATATTAAAGTACATTAAAATCTAAATAAACATTCTATTAAGGCTTTTCTTCCACTAAACTTTCCTTTTAAACACCCAATCACATGGTGCAGGATTTATGGTTTTACAACAGACAGAAAATGTATTTTCAAAATAGTTAGAAAAGTATTATAATTCAAGTATGAATCAAAATTTTTACAGTTTTTCCTTCCACTTAACTTTCCACTTACATGCTTAGATATAGAACTCTGCGCAGCTTCTTTAGCAGCGACCTTTTTTAACAGAAACATAAATGGAGTTTTCTTCCTTTTGCTACCAAAAATCCTTTGAATGAACAGAAACATTGGAATAAATGAAGTGATAAATGTTCTGGGCCGTTTTTGTTTAATCTGCTTTCTCTGTTTTTCCTCTGCAGATCCTGGAGAGTTCCCAGTCTCTACTGAGCGTCCTGAAACAGGAAGCAGGAAACCTCAACAAAACCCCAGAGTCGTGGAAAAAGTAGCACCAAGAAAAACTCTGTACTCTGCTGGACCCTGATTTTGCACTTTTAAACAAACTTTCCTGTTCGTTTTATTAATATATTTGTTTTTTTCTCCTTTTAAAGCAATAAATGTTTGATTTTTAGTTGTACGTCTCCAGTCACTCATTCACAGCACATCTTTTAGTTTAGTTATTTATTCAGCTTTTATTTTACAAGTACGATGTCTTTTTGTTTTTTCAGCTTACAGTAAGCACATGGAGCTTTACAGACAGGAAGTGATTAAAGGATGAACCAGGAAGTGAAGCGTTTGGTTTCAGACAGAGAGCAGGAAGAGGTGGATGCCACGCCTCTACAGCAGCCAAAATAAAAAAAAATCATGACCCTTGAACTCTCACCCCCCATTTTCAACCTAGATTTTAAGCAAAAGTGAGAACGCTTCTGCTAAGGTGCTAACAAGAAGGCTAATTTTTGGCTTAGCATCTCTACACTAACCTCTAGCGCGCTTAGCTCCTCCTAATATTTATTCAGGTAAATTCTAAAGTGTTGCTTTGTAAACTTTCAGTTGAATAAAATTAGACATTGCAGTCCTGAACGCACTTGAGATATTCTTTGGGTTAGCGCATTAGCATTTTTGCTAACCGCTTATGTTTCCTTAATTAATATTCATGCAGATAAATTCCAAAGCACTAATTTCTTTGGGTGTTTTGTAAACTTTTGCTTGTAAACTTTTGCTTGAATAAAGTTTGACATCTCCAGTGCCAGAGATAGCTGAGCTAATCTGCTAATAGCAGAGCTAACGTTTTCTGGTTTAAGTATTTTTGCTAACCTTTAGCGGTTTTAGTTTCTCCTGAATGCATTTTGTCTGGGTGAATACTGAATTGCTAATTTTGTAAACTTTCAGCTGACATCTGGACACACTTGAGCTAATACGTTAATAGCAGTGGTGATTTTTCCTATTGCTTTTGCTAACTTTCAAAACATTTAGCACACTTAGCTTCCCCTAACATGTTGTGTAATCAACACACGTTTGGTAACAACATGGCTGAATTCAGTTCTTTAGCATTACATACAGTTTTGTTGCTACATTTCATCATTAGCAGAACTAATGCTAATTCTTAGTGCTTTGCTTTTAGTGTAAATAGCATTTTGAGGTAAGAAAATGAGTTGGATTTACTGCAAATGCACACCACACTTCTCAGATTTCACTGAGAACTATACCTTTGTTGGTTTGTCACATAAAAATCTCAGTAAAATACACTGACATTCAGCCCACTTTACTCCAATACCTCTAAATAAAATCCACTACAACCAATTATCTTATTAAAAATTTAAATCACGTCCCAGATGATTAAAAGGATTAATTTAATGTGATTTGCCAAGTAATTTCAGGTTTGATGTTAAAATTACTAGAATGTTGCATTTTTTAATGGAGAAGTACATTACAAAACAGAAGAAAAGTGTGGTGTGCAATTGTATCCATCCTCCTTTTGCTCAAATATCTGTAAATAAACCAGTTTACATTCAAGGTAACTTAATATTCAGAATTATTTAGAATTTAAATTAATGAAGCCATTCTGCAGCAATTTGCACTTCATAATCAGAAACCCAACTGAATTTGTTTTAAAGTTGAAGACTTTCAATTTTAACATTTCTATTCTACACAATCGGCTTCCTAATAATCATTTTAAAAAGGTCTTAATCCGTTTTGCAGGATTTCTGAAAAATATTGAAGGATTTTTCATTTGATCATCTTCAGTCCAGTGAAATAATTTAAATAAGGCAACACATTAAGGACAAAAGTAGAAATGTGAGGAAATGATTGAATTCCTTGTAAATAAACCTGATCTCTACACTTCAAAACCATCCCAGCAAAGGCTTTTTGTTCCTTCTTTCCTTTCAAACCCACAAACCTAAACCACTGACTTACAGTTTATTTGTCTTTATTTTCATGACTTATGGAGATAAATGAATATAAAAAGGCCCGATACTCTTTGGTTCTGATTTCCATTTGGACCAGCTGACCCTGATTGTAATAAGGAGACGTGCTAATAGATGTTTATTGGCAGTGGTGGGCACACGAATGCTAATGTGCTAGTAGCAGAGCTAACTTAGAAAACATTTAGCATACTTAGCTTCCTCTTATTTAAATTCCAAAGCGCTAATTTTTTGGGCTGTTTTGTAAACTTTCAAATGAATAAAGTTTGATATATTGATAATATCGACTTAGATTTACAGCTTTTGCTGAACAACATGTTGGTGTAGCGCATTAGCATTAGCCTCTGGTAAATTTCTTGTGTTTCACAAATTTTTGCTAAATTCCATGTTGGTTTAGGGCTTGAGCGTTAGCTTCAGCTAATTTGTTGTGGGTGTGGTGCTTTAGCTCTAGCTTTTACTAAGCATTATGTTATTGTAGCACTTTAGCATTACCTTATGCTAAATTCTGTGTTGATACAGCACCTTAGAGTTAGCTAAGGTTCTTGGTGTAGTGCAAGTTTTTACTAAATTTCATATTAGTGTGGTGCTTTAATATTAGCTTCGACTAAACATGCTGTTGTAGCACTTTAGCATTAGCTTCTGCTAAATGCCATGTTAATAAAACGCTTTAGCATTAGCATTCAGTTAGCTGTGTCCACCACTGTGTCTGGGATCGTACAGAAGCAGATATTTAGTGGGTAAGAAGCAAACTGTTGCTTGTTAACTGGCCAATCAAAAATCTGGTTACAAAACATCCAGAACCAGAAAACTTCAAAACAACCATCAGAACAAATAAACTGTGGGCTAATCTGGGCCTGCTGCGGAGCCGTGGATGTGTGGTCACAGTGACGAGGCCGACAATCATGAGACTTTAATACAAGGCTGCGACAAACATTTAAAAACAGAAGCAAGCATGGCAAAAATCGGCAGTGCATTCCTCCGGTTCGGCTGGAGAGTTTCACTTCAAAACGGCGTCCTTCTGCTTTTCACAGGAACAAAACCACCGCTTACTTTTCACAGGGTTAGCGGTTCAGTTCGTGCTCTGCAAATTTCCTCCATCGCTTGTTTTTATGACTCATCATCAGGTGCAAAATGCAGCGTAAAAACAAAAGAATGACAGTGCAAAGACATTCAGCATCAAAGACTCCAGGAAATAAAAAAACGATAATCCAGCTTCCAGGACTGAAAATATTCCAGGTGATTGTGGAGGGAAAGTTGGGGAATACTGGTGGAGGGACGAGTGTGAGGCCGGCACAGCAACACTTTAATCAGTTGGCGCAATGATGAGGTCAAGAAAAACATAATCATCTCGTATAAAAACAAAATCTAAAAAACAAAATTCAAGCATAAATGGATTTCTCAATCCATTTGTTCCCTGTAGGCATGGGCTGGCCGACCAACAGTTAAACTGTTCACTTTGTTAGATCAGCCAGTTCTCCTTCATCAGAATATCAATTATAGAAATTCTTTTTTTTTCCCTCATTAAAGACAATTTTCTATCCACTTTGGGGTTCCTCAGGGCTCCATTCTCAGCCCCTCAGTTCTTTGAGGCTACTTATACTTCTTCAGATTAAATGAGACAATAGAAAAAAATAAATCAGACATTTCAACCCCTCACTGTTAAAGTAACTTTTAATTAAGAACTCAACCATTTTAGGTCTTTTTCTCCCTTTACGTGTGGGGTTCTTCAGGGATCCCATTTTTTTTTTTTTTGCCACTTTTAATGAAAATAAATTTTCAGTTTAAAACTTCATTAAAAAATTTTTTAAACAAATGTTAAAAATAATTGTCCCCAATGTAGCTCCATTCGGGACAGAACTTTGATCTATTCAACATCTGAAGGTAAAACTAAAAACAATTTTAATTGTAAATTAATTGATAAATTGTGAAGGGAAGATGAATCAATGAATTAGTTACAGTTTCTATATCATTATAAGAAACTGATTCTATATTTTTTATTCAGTAGAGGGGCCACGGCCCCTATTGGCCCCCATCTAGAACCGCCAATGGCTCTTATACTCTACATGTGACAATTAGATCATATTCTACAATTTAGCTTTTAATTGGTTTTGCAAATACCAACCCATGCCTAGTTCATTTTTATGATTGATTCATGTTTAATTTTTATTATTTATCATTAAAACAACTGGAATGTCAAAGTATTTGTGGTCTGACTTTTAAATAAAATCAAGTTACTAGTTTTTCCTCCTGGTTTCCTTCACACATGCAAACGAAAACCTCACAGAAAAGAAGTCAGAAATAAACACAGAATCGCAACATTTATAGGTAGAAAAGTTCACAATAACACATTCTGCAGAGCCATGATTTGTTTGGACCGTTTGGACATACAGACATTATTATTATTATAATTGGCAAAGGTCACTTTTTTCCCCAGAGCATTCGATACGGAATAAAAGCTGCTACTGATCGACGGGTGTCGGCTTTACGATGGCAAATCAGGGCCGATGCAGAAAAAAAATCCTTAAAAAAAATTCTGCAAATTTGTGATTTTTCAAGCTGAGAAATTTGAAATGTTTTTTCTAAACCTTTTCTGAGATTAATCTTAAAATATAGGAATTTTATCTAGCAAATTTATTTTCTCAGTTTTGTTCAGCAATTTTTCTACTTTTTGATTGTCAGAAATTGTCAGTTTTTTCCCCCCAAAATTTTTGAGATTAATATCCAAATTTCTAATTTCTTCAAGCAATTTTCAACTTTTCAAGCTCAGAAATTTCCAAGTTTTTTCCAGAAAATGTTTTTGGAGTAAGTTTTTCTTTCCGTCTACAACGGTCCCAAAATGCCGTCGTTCTTCTTCACCTCCTTCCAAATGAAGAAGGGAAGTTTTTTTTTTTTTAAACACCTCAGAAAAACATCCAGAAAGTTTAATACAGCATGAAAACCTGAAACTAAAGAAAGGCAAAGAGAAGCTTTACAGTAAAACAGAAGCTGAAATCAAACATGCACGTACAAAAACTTGAAAAGAAAATAGTTGTGGCACCCTTTTACCTTCATGTTTTTCTATGTATAATCTGCACAGAAGCAGAAAGTCCTAACACTGAACTCCGTCACCAACCAGCGAAAGTGTCGGACAGATCAACTGTCCTCAATCAGAGGGGAAACACAGCCCAGCTGCTTCTTTCTCTTTGTTTTTTCCTTTTTTCATTCCCGTTTGTCGCTTTGGGAAACGTCTGCGACAGGACGGCAGTGGGGTCGTGACGCCGGCGGCGGGATCAGGGCGGCAGCGGGGTCGGGGCGCCGTGCGCTGCAGTCGGATCTCCGGAGATGCTGCCGTCTGGCCGCGGCCATCAGAAGTAGAGCGCCGGTTCGCTGCTGTAGTCGGACAGAGAGGAGCTGTCCGCCGGAGTCAGCTGGACAAAACGGCGTTAAACACAGTTATGTGAGGTCAAAGGTCAGAGCTGGACTCCACTTCTCATCATGTTTCATGGAGAGAACCAGAGGTTTTAGGTCAGAACTCGCTAGAATTTGCTCAAAATTTCATTTAGAGTAGGAAATTAACCGTGATTAATTGATAATTTAAATAATCATTTATTAGTTTATTAATTGATTAATCGCTAACTGGAGTACACCAACTTAAAAATGATCATGCTTTAGGCAATGAAATGTTTATTTTCTTATTTCAAAATGGAACACAATTGTTCAAATCTCATGTATTTTTAATATTATATAACAAAGGTTTAAGTAGTTAAATGAAAATATGTAGCATTTATAAAAATCAAATTAATCAATTAACCGTTTATTTCTTATTCTGATAACTTGAGTCAAATATTTTGCGTGATAAATGCAAAATATATGCATTTTATTAAAAGTTTACCTTAATTACTGCGCCCATTATGTTGTTTTGTTTAACCAAATGTACTTTTTTGAGTTTGTATCCTCCAGTTAACGATTAATTGATTATTAAATTAGTGGACAGTTGCTTCAATAATTGATTAATCAAGATTAATCAGTTCAATCCTACATCAAAATCAATGCTACACAAGCATCTAGTTTCAAAATTTTGTTGCATTTAAGGAGGTTTACAATTATTCATTAAGATCTTACTCTATTTTAAACTTAATCACCATCATCATTATTGAAAAACAATATGTGAGGCTGGAAACATCAGAAATCCAAACAGTTTTAAGACAAACAGCTTTAAGTTTGTGTGTAAGTGTTTTTGTCGCTCTTACCATGACCTCCTCTGTGACCTGCGGCGAAGTGGGTTTCTCCTGGTAAACTTTGTCTTCTTCTTTGTTTTCCTGCCAGGTGTTAAAGTCCACAGAGTGTTTGGGAATGTAGCTGGAAAGGTCTGACGACAATTAGAAAAAACACATTATTACTTAATTTATTCAACAAATTCAGATAAATACATGTTTGTAGAGCTTTTATGCACATAATAATGTAAAATAAATGTCGTTTGTTGTAATGAAACCAAGTGTAGTTACAGGTTTTCTCCAGTAGGGGGCTCTAGGATCCAACTAATAAATCAGATCTGTTGATTTCAGAGGTTTTATTGTGTATTTTCTTTAACTTTTCTACATAAAATACTACCTAACATCTTTCTATATAACTTAAGATAGTTTTTTAGCTCAGAATTGTTCATATTATTTCATATTCTTAACACTTTGCATGAGAAATTCCCATTTTACCAAAAAACAAAAGGTTATTTTTATAAGAAAATTAGTAAATAGGAGAAAAATTCCACTAACAGGATTTATTTAACAGGAACTGTTTGTGACAGACAAACGCAAAGTGATTCAGAATTGTCCAATGGGAGGAGGAGGATGCCTGATTTTTTATGTTTTTGTACAATTGGTAATCTGAAAAGTGTGGAGTGCTTATTCTGTCCATTCAGTCAGAATGGACAGAACGAGTCTCTGAGCATCTATTTTCAAATCTAGCTGCAGAAAGTAAGTCTGGACTTTGACTAGGCCTCAGCTGTTCTGTTAGTTTGGTTTTGCTTTGCTTTGACGTCGGGTCTCACCGTTCCCGTTTTCGGAGTGGACCGGCGATCCGACCAGGCTGGGGCGAGGGATGTGGAAACGTCCCACCATGCTGGGCTGCTCATCCGCCAGCGTCGCGTCCCGCTTGTCGTCCTCGTCCTCCTCGCCGCTGTCCCACACGCTGCTCTCTGACGGATACTCGTAGGTGCTCTGGAGGCTCGACTCGTTGAACGAGATCTTCAGCTGCGAAAGGAAAATGTAAACTTTATATCCGTCATAAACCTCAAAAAGTAAAAAATATTCTGTCAAGTGATGACAGATCAACAACAACTGTTTCAAATTAAATGTAACTAAAGCATTTTCTTTAATATTTACATTTCATCTTTATTACTGTTGCATCATTATTACTATATTTTTATTATTTGTGACTGAATCATCTTTTTTAATATTTAAATTTTTTTTACTGTTGCATTTATTTTTACTGCCATACTTTTTATGTGACTGAACCATTTTTATATCTTTATATATTTATTTTAGTCTATTTTTTGTCACATTTTTGCTTCCGTATTTTTTATAGTTATTGTTTTAATTATTATTTATTCCATTATTACTTGTATATTTCTAAGCTGACAGTCTAAGGACTCTGTATTAGTAATTCATGACCTCCTGAGTGTAAACATGATGCGACACAAAGGCCCATCTCTTCTCACCCACTCTTCAAAATGGGAAAGATAAGAACCTGCTATTTAATTAAGCTAGTAGTTATTGACAATAACTACTAGCTTAATTAAATAATCAAAACAATATTTAAAAAGTTTAAAGCAAATAAAACTCTGGATGTTGGAACCAAGTTAGATGATGAAGATGGAAAACAAACACAGTTTTAAAGAAATAAACAGTAAAATAAAACACTTTTCAGTGTCAGATTATGCGTTTTGATGGTGTCATAGAGTCGAAGTTGTTGATGTTATTATTGGTTTGTTGGCGTGTGATGCAGATTCGGACAGATTTAGATCAGGGGTGGAGTCCAGCAGCCCCAGTTTAACCCACTGCTCTGTGTTTGCATTGTTTATTTCCTGGTTGCCATGGCAGAACAAGAGCAGGAAGTGTAATAGTTTAGCCCAAATGTGGCCCGAATGAATCAATAGCACCTTTTATTTTAAACCAGTTGTGGTCATTATGGGACTCTACAAAAGTAAAATCTTAAATGTGTTAAGTTTTTGCTTTTTCCACTAACAAGCCAGCTAATTCTGAAATTAGCTTCGGCGTCCATTTTTTAGCCCATTTCCCGCTCATGAACTCCAATTTTTAAATTCAGCAACATGTTGTTTATCCTAAAGTAAAACTAAATGTTTCATAGCTCAATAACCGGGCAGCAGAGACATTAGCAATTATCCTGGATGACGACATGAGTTGCTAGCAAAGCGATGCTAATCCACTTCCTTTGCTTTTGGTGTTTCTCTTTGAATCTCTCTTTAGTGCAGCTGAAGTCTTAAACTGTCAAGACTCTGAAGTAGGGGATACATTGTCTACATCATCCATGAAGCTTCTTTTTCAACTCCTCTGTGATTTGGAATAATCATTCCAACTTTGAGATGCTAACTAGATGCTACCTAACGGTCCAGCCGCCGAACCAGAGCGAATAATAGAGAATCACGTCCGGGTTGAGTACTTTTAAGTAATATTCCACTTGCTTTAAATAAATGAATAAATATTCAACAAAAAAACTAATTAAGCTTCATTTTAGCTTCAGTCAATAAAACAAGGTCAGTAACAGCACTTTACGTCAATATTGAGCTGCTTTTTCGCCTTTTCCTGTTCCGCTGCTAACGGTTAGCCTTCCCAGGGCTAGCATTCCGTTACGATAGCTACCGTAACACGAACATTCCCAAAATAAAACCACAGGACCTCAACCAACCGAGACAATACCGACTTCACTCGGTTGGTCGGCCTTTACAGTTCTCATTGGGGTTTTAAACGGGAGAAAAGAGCAACTAAAGTCTTAAACAAAATCCTTAACATCGATTTAAAAACGTCTGAGCGCGTCGACGCCATTTAATAAATGGATGGCCAACTCAAGACTTTCCCAGAGACAACAGACGGCGTGTTTGACCCGCCGAGATCTGTCTGGTGGGGCCGCAGTTCAGGCTGGATTACACGGCTCGAGAGCCGCTAAACAGACGCCTCTTACGGCTCCAGCCTGGAGGCCAGCGGGCCAAGACACGGAGCTCCCGCAACGAAGCCAGCTGGCCGCTGAAGCGTCGCCAACCTGCGGATCCCGAGGCAGAAAGGGCCGGAGGAAGGAACCGAGCTGGGCTGCAGCGTCAGCAGGCGATAAGGGGAGTAATCAGGCAGCAATAAGGAAGTGACAGGCTGTCAACTCATAAAGTGGACAGACTCAAAGTACCAAGCTCTGCTTGGAAAAACAAGAAAGTTCTAGATTTCCGCCAAAACAAATGTTGAGAAATTTTCCAGAGAAAAATTTTTTTTTTGGAGAAAATATTTTTTTAAAATTAATTTACAAGCTCAAAATGTAAATCACATTTTTAGCTGTAAAATAAAAATTACATTCACATTTGGATCCATCCATCCATCCATCCATCCATCCATCCATCCATCCATCCATCCATCCATCCATCCATCCATCCTCTTATCATAAAGTTGTTTTCAGTCATTTTGTTTCCTTCCTCGTCTTTTCTGTCTATCTCTGAAAACAGAACGGTCCGGTCAAAGCTCGACAGGAAATTGCAGATAGAAAATCAGAAAACGTTTTATAACGACTATTAAACAAAAACAGGGCATCTGAATGTTGCTGAAACCAAACTCTGGTTTGTCCCCTGAGTTTCTGAGCCTGAATGTCTCTTTAAGTGAGAGTTTAGAGTTTTTCTGCTTCTTCATCACAACCACAAAAAATAAATAAATAAAATTTACACCAAGATCCATTTTTAACCTGTGAAGAGTGTAGTTCCTCTTTAGCTTTAGATGACTCAAAAAGCCACTCGTAGTTTATAAAAAGCCACTTTCAACATGTTCTAACCGCTTGTAGGCGTCACAATCGCAAAATGCTTTTATTTCTTCCTCTGCTGTTGCCATGGAGATCGAACCTTTGCTCTGCGGTGTCCACAGATACGTTTCCTGTTCTAAAAACACGAGGGAATTAGCTCAGGTGTTAAGATTATCGGGCCAGAACGCTGACCAATCGGAGGAGCCGCTCCACGCAGTTATAATCCCGTAAAGCCTGTGCAGGCGTGCCGGAGTGCAAAGGTCATTCAGGAGAAGATGAGGCCTCCTCACCTGCAGCCTGACCTACATTTGATGCCGAAGGTTCGAATTAGCTTCACATGTCATGGTTAACAGGGTGAATTGTAAGGTTGAAGAAAAACGCTGAGAGGAATCAAATAAAAAATCTGAAAAGTGTGGCGTGCATTTGAACTCAACCCCATTTCCTGGGACACTCCTAAATAAAATCCAGTGCAAAACAAAACTGAACTTTCTGGCTGAACTGAACTCTTGTTAACTCTGGCGATAATGCTACGTGTTAACAAGAGTAAGCAATGATTTGAGTAATTGTTAACCAAATGAGTAATCGTTTATTGGAGTATATATATGGATGATGTCGCATGCAAAAGCTGCCAACAGACTCCGACTAGCATTGGTTTTAGCTGTTAAGTTGCCAATATAACGCGCTAAGTCTTAAATGTACGCCTGATGTAAGAAAGAAAAAGAGACGCAGTGCTTTGCCACTATGATAACGAGATAACAAGGTAAGGGAAAAGTTTAAATTAAGACAAAAATAGCAAAGGAGAGGGAAGTAGACCAGCTATGCTAGCTTGACTATGACAACCATAACATGTAGATGTGCTGTGGAATTCAGTGCCGCTGGGTTCAGTTAAAATGTTTTTAAAAAGCTGACCTAAAACCAACTCTGACACATCATCAGTAAACCAGGCGGTAATATTAGCTAATGAACCACCGCATGTGTGAGCAAAGAATGATGTGTGGTGTGCTAGCAACTGGCGCCAGATATAGTTATTATACAGTTTTTCCGGCCAATTAGGGCATTGCATCATTTTACATGCTACTTTGAGTTGGTCTATCAATTAAAATGACAATAAAATCCACTGATATTTATATTCTATGTGCTCAGGGTGAAAAAAGTCACAAATTACTCAAAATCCCCATTGAAATAACTTTGTAAAATGTGTCAAGTTCCAGGATATCAACTCATTTCAGCCGCTAAAAGTCTTGAGGAAACAAAGACTTTCTCTGCTAGCGCGGCATTGTTTCTCCGTCTCTGGCTGCCAAAGACGAGGCCCCATCAATAAATCAGGCTGAGCCGCTGGGTTCGCTTCCTCTTTCATGGTCTTTCACTTTTCCTTTGGTTTGCCCTCGCTGCTCTGCCTCCAACTCAGTGCGCCAAAACAAAGATGGTTTTTTTAACTCTTTACGAGGTTCGCTGCTGACCCGGACCAGATATTTGTTTTGATGCTGAAAGCCGCCGCTACCAAGGCAGGAGCGGTTTGTCCTCTTTCCTGAGGGAGAATGAAACGAAGGGGGAAAAAAAAGAAAAATCCACCAGCAGATTTAGGAACGCCATCATTCTGGTTCACCACACGGCGCAGAAACAGGAAGCCGCGGCATCAGAGACGGCCTTCGTTTTATATTTACCAGAAAACCCACAATGCACTGCAGGGCGAAGCTTGAATGCACAACTGTAGGCTGAACTACTGCAAAGATTTGGTAGTGAGCAACAATCTGACCCACAGAAATACAAAGAACAGCCCCAAAAATCTGCTGCTATTCCTCCAGACCTGTAGGTGGCGCTAAACATAAACCCTCCACATGAGGCTGGAGGCAAAGAAAGCAAGAATGGCCAACAACAAACTGCAACAAGTCTTTGATACAGACGTTCTGCAGCCGAAACACCAAAACTATTCAGTCCCTTCAGGATTTTGCAATTGTTTTTGTGAGTTTTTATAAACAAAATTAATAATTTTCTGTGGTAAAAAGAAGAATCCTTTCCCCCCAGTGGCACTAATCCTCTTCCATAAATAATGTATTTTTGTATGATTGCACCAATAAATAGGTTCAGAATTTCTTAATTATAATTGATCAATATTTACTTGAAACAATTCCAGTATCTACCTGGAATATATTTAGCAGCTCGTCAGACAAAACAAATGGCATCAGGCATTTTGGAGAAACTGCAATCGGTTCACCTCTAGTTTTCTTAAAATATCTCT